GGATAGCGACACCACCCACTCGTCCCCATCCCAGGGATCCCCATCCCAGGAATCCTTCCCAGCTCACCTGGGCGACTCGTAGAGAGGAACAGTGCGGATGTGGAGCTTCTGGATCTCGTCGATGGTCCCGATGGTCAGGGTGCTGTTGTTGGCCAACGCCAAACTGCCCCAGGGGGAGAGGGGGAGAGGGGGAGAGGAAAAAAAAAATCCAGGGAATCTTAGAGAACAGCAAGAACCTCTCTGCGCTCCACGTCCCGGTGGATCCCGGGGCTCACCTGTCGGGATACCCGTCGGAATTGAGGGGGCACATGTAGTTGACCTCCTTGAGGTTGACGTTGGAGAAGACCAGCTTGTGGTTGCTGCTGTAGATGACGGTGGGGCGGTCGGAGCAGGCGAAGACGTTGGTGGTGGACAAGGAGCGGAACGTCCTCAGGACCGTGGGCTGCGTGCCCAGGGTCACCTTCTTCCGGTCGCTCAGCGAGCCTGGAGCCAGGGAAAACAACCATTGGGATCTCCCGTGGGAGGAAAACAACCACTGGGATCTCCCGGGACACCTCGGGATGGAAGGAGCGCAGAAAAGGCACCCCGGATGTAAAGATCCGGCTGGCTCCTTTCTCCGGAGGAATCCGCCAGTTCCCACTGCCTGGGGCTGGGGAAAGCAGGAAAGCGTTCCAGAGGGATGGAGAAACACGGAAAAGGTTAAGGGCAAAGGTCACCTGTCTCCAGGCTGAGCCCGAAGTAGAAGAGGGCTCCGTCCCCCAGGGCGCACAGGAGGTAGTGGCTGCTCTCAAACGTCGTCATGAGGATGGAGCGCGGGATAATCTCTGCGGGAAGCGGGAAAAAGGACGGATGAGGCCACCCGGGGCTCGGCCAGCGGCTGCCACCGTTCCCCTCGGGAAGCTCCCACCTCCTCCCAGCATCTCCTTGTGCAGCAGCTCGAAGGACGGGAGCTTCAGGATGCGGGCGGAGATGTCGGTCCAGAGCCCGATGGCGCAGAGCGGGGACATCCCGTTGGAGTCTCCCAGGGGAGTGATGTCCAGGCAGGCCACCTCGTGCTCCATCTCCGTGCAGCTGGGAGGGAGGGAGGAAAGAGAACAGGCGTCCGTCACGATCCCGAATCCCAGCGCTCCCGGGGCGCCCGGGGTGGGCTGTGCCTGACCCGCACCTGATCTGCCGGAGCTCCTGGGGCCGGATTTCCAGGTAGAACAGGGCTCTTCCCACGGCCACCACCACCTGGTTGGTGTTGCAGGAGGCGACGCTGATGTTCTTCCCGTTGGGCTCCTTCCACTCGCTCACCAGGCATTTGGGCTCCTGGCTCACCAGGCGCACGGAGGCGGAGGTGATCTGGGAAGAGAGCACAGAAAAATCATGGAAAACGCGAGCGAGAAGCTCCCTCTGCTCCGTATCCCTTAGAAACAGGAACCCAGGATCCCATTTGCTGATCCCTGACAACACCCCAGATTAACCCCATGATCCACAGGGATCACCAGGAGAGCCATATCCGTGTTTCCCCCGAGCTGGAATTACCTGGATCAGCTGCTGATGCGCCACATTCCCGCAGAAAAACGTCTGCTGGTCATCCACAAACCCCGTGAGCTCCGTCTCTTCCACCTCCTCCCCGTTTAACATCAGAACTCTGGAAAGGGGAGGGAATTCCCATTAATTCCTGCTCTGGCACGTGGTGAGAGCTCTGGAGCGAGGATCCCCCTTTACCTGGTCTGGCCAACAAAGGAGAGCACCAAGGTGTTGTCCGTCTCCCGGTGCGGATCCGACCGCAGCGGCCACAAGCCTGGGAAAAGAGGCCACAGCTCCTCACATAATTCCTCTTAATTCCACATCCCAACGTCATCCGTGCCCGTGATGTCCCCTCCCAGGCTGTGGGACACCACGGATCGCCCCCCTCACCTTTAATTCCCGGCAGGTCGATGCTGGCGTGCTCGTGGATCCCGATGCCGTTCCGGATGATCCGCAGGGATCCCTCTTTGAAGGCGCCGGAGCAGGTGACCAGCTGCAGGAGAAGCAGGTGGGATTTACCAGCCGTGGCTGGGAAGCTTTCCCACCCCTCTCCGGGTTCACGGGAAGATGGGGAACCCATCTGAGGATCATGGAATCCTGGAATGGTTTGGTTTGGAAGGGACCTCAAATATTTCATCCCTTTCCGTGGGATTTCCACATTCCTTTTAGATCAGGTTGCTCCAAGTCTTGTCCAGCCTGGCCTTGGACACTTCCAGGGATGGGACATCCACAATCTCTGTGGGCACCTCCTCCAAGGAATTTTTTTGGCAGCTGATCCTTCCCCCATGGCACAAGGGCAGACCCTTCCTCGTGGATATCCTGGAATTAACCTCCTACTGCTCCAGGAAAACACTTATCCCAATCCCAGCACCCGGATATGACTCCGAGATCCTCCGATAAACAGTTTTGAGCCTTTTCCTTTCCTTTTCCAGGGAAGCTGTGGCTGCCCCACCCCTGGAATTGCCCAAGACCAGGTTGGACGGGGCTTGGAGTAACCTGGGATAGTGGAAGGTTGGGTTGGAACCAGATGATCCTTCCAGCCCAAACCACTCCGGGATTCTATGGACAACTCATGGGTACACCTGGCCGGCCCAGAAATTCCCAGGAGCGAGGTCAGAAAAGCAGGATCAGGGATACCTGTCCCTGCCCTTGTCTCTCCAGGTCCACCACACACATGTCCACGATGGGCCCGAGGTTGGTGAAGGTCTCCATGGCCACCACGTAGGATCCCTGCTCGTTGCTGTCCACGTTGAGCTGGGAATAAACACTGGGATCAACCCCTGGCTTCCAAGGAGCGGGATAAAAAGGGCAGGCGAGGAGAAGAGCGGGAAAATTTATCCACATCCCAAGGTTTTGGTGGGAACCAAGGCCAGGAGGAAGCGGCCACGTACCTTCACCAGCTGGGAATCTCCAAGCCTGGATCCAACAAACACCACTCCGTTATCCAGGTAGGTCAGGCACTCCGCTATGGATGTCTAGGAATTGGGAAAAGGCAGGGAAAAGTCTCTGGAACACCTCGAGAGCGCCACTACCGAGCTGTTTATCCAACAGGAAATCCCTGGGCAGGGGAAAGGGATTTAAGCCCTTCATAAATCCCACAGAGTCTGAGCTTCTCCCTCGGAAACAGCGCGGAAGCAACAGGGAAAAAAAAAAACGGGATGAAGGTGTAAAAAACTGGGAAGAGGGTGTGAATTTAAGAAGGAATTTTCCAGCAACCAACATGTTAAAGCTGTGAAAAATGGGAAGAATCACCATCCCGGGATCCAAAAGGGACACAATTCCTACACGGAGCCTTTCCGGGCTTGGGAAAATCCCAGGAAAGGTGAGTCCTACCTCTCCCAGCAGCTCCACACGCAGGTCCTTCAAGGTGACAGTGCCATCCATCTGCTCTTCCTTTTCCAGGAGCAGCATGAAGAGCCTTCCTTCCATGTCTCCCAGCAAATACCGGGAGCCGTTGGGATCCACGCGGTTGTGGCACACGATGGTACTTTGCTGCAGGGAAAGGAGGGAATTCTTGGAATCCACTGGAACAGCCCCAAAGCTGGAGCTCAGGTGACTCATTCCCTGCTTCAGCACCCCAGACTCGCTATCCCAGAGCTCCAGGCTCCCATTTTTCCATCCAAGATTTAGGGTTCTTTCCTTATTTCCAGCTTAAAAGGACCTTTGCATGGTAATTCCAGCCTGGAGCAGCATCTCAGCCGTGCCATTGCTCCCACTAAATGTGGGAAGTGGGCTGTTATTCCCACAAAACCCACAAATGCAACCTCCATCCCAAAATCCCTAAGTCTGTCCTTTATCTCCCAAAGTCTCCAAGAGGCTCATCCATATCTTCTGCCTGAAACACAACCAGGCTCCTGCTTGGAATTCTGCCCAAACCATGCCTTAAATCCTAATTAATCCCATTCCATGGGGCCCAAACATTCCAGGCTTTGCCCCTTTTCCAAGAGTCCCACAGACCATGGATACAAAGGTTACTGTTTGGGAAGCCAAACCCCTGGAAGTCCAAGCACTATTAGGCCACGCGTGGGATGGCAGCGGTTGGAATTCCTGCCTGGAAGGGCTAGGAAAGGAGGAATTCTGCAGGGTTCAGGATTGGGCAAGGAGGAATTCCATGGGATTCAGCCCATTCACCTTGATGATGGGAGGAGCAATAGCCAGGTATTTGTCCCCGTTGTGGTAGGTGATGGATTCCTGGCCGATGATGATCGCGCCTCCGAAGGGCTCCGGAACTGCGGGAACAACGACAAATATCCCGCGAGTCTTTCCCTGTGCGGAAAAACTGAGGCATCCGGGCTGGGGAAAAAAGAAAACAAACCGGGAAGGAAGATCTTTCCCAACCTGCAATGACCATGGAGGCTTCGGCCTCCACGTTTTCCTGCTTCCAAGGGCCTTTGTTGAATTCCTTCTCCCGCAGGGACACCTCGTACGTCTTCACGTGCCGGCCCTGGGGGTCCTGCAGGAGGAGACACAAGATCCCAGAAATCAGCAAATTCCACCTCATCTCCTGCAAAAACAGCATTCCAGGCAGCTGGGGAACCTTCCCAGCTCCTCCTCTCCCTTCTCCCTTCTCAAACCAGGCTGCTGTCGTTCTCCCAGCGTTTTCCACATATAAACCGACCTCTGGATAAACCTCTGTGCCAAGAGAGGCTGGGAAGCATTTTTCCAGTGTTATCCAAGGGATTTTCTGGGATTTGTGTTCACCTGACAACGCTGGAGCAAGAATATTGCTATGAAATATCACCTCCAGCTCCAGCAAACCTTCAGGAATCCGGTTTTTTCTTATTGTATTCCCCCTTTTTCTGGTCTCTTCCCATTGTTTTAGAACTTCCCAAAAATTATCCCAGTCCCTGCTGCTCTATTTGGTCCAAATCCCGGGATAATGGTTAATAAATAGAGAGGGAATGAAGGCAGCTGCTTGGAAAAATCCCCCTTTCCACAGGCAGGGATAAAAATAATCCAGAGCTTTACAAGATCCCACTCGTGCTCCAAAGATTTTTGAGTGTTAGACATGGAATCCTGGAATCCTTAAGGTTGGAAAGCCCTCTAGTCATCCACTTGTTCCCTGAAATCCCAGGTATGTGGTGACAAAAGTTGTTTCTCCCCCATTCCTTGACTCAGGAACAATTTGGGAGGATCCAGCAGTGCCCAAACAGGGAATAATGGAATCACTGCTGCCATGGGACACACTTGGAGCTGCCTCCCAAAAATCCCAGTTGCCTTGTTTTTTATGGAAAGGCTCAAGTGTCGCTCTGGGAAACAACTGATCCTGGATCTAATCCAATTGCTGGAGCGATCCATGAGCTCCTCTGGAGGGTTTAACAAGGAAAACACTCCCACTCAAGGCAAAGCTGCCCGGGAATTCTGTGGGAAAGTGTCACTTCCTCTCTCCCAGACCTGGGAAAAAGCAACACGTGGAGGTTCCTAACGAGCCTGGAAGGGCCAGAATCACCCAAACCAGCCTCTGGAAAACCTTTGGAGCCCTCGGCTCCACCCTCCACGTGGATTTTCCATGGAAAAGCAGTACCTGGTAGACGAAGCAGATGGTGGGAGCTTGGCATCCGTAGAGGAATTTGACGTCGATGACCTGGAGCTCTTCCAGGCGGATGTTGAAGGCTTTCAATTCCTTGTTCTCCCTGTCCAAGGGAATGACCTTGAAGAGGCCGTCGTAGAGCCGGAGCCCGATCATCCGGCACTCGGGATCGATGATCCCGATGATCCCGGTCTCGGAGGGGCGGCCGATGCGATCCTGGGGGACAAACCCACGGAGGAGGGAAGGGAAAAGGGGATTAGTGCCGGGAAAAGATCCCTGAGGGGCTCCAGAAAAACCAGCCCCCAGAATTCCAGCTGGGAAACCACCAAGCCTAAGGAGGAGATGCTTTTCCACCTGGAATTGCTCCCGCACCGCTTCTTCTCTCCCGGGAATCTGGCACTGTGGGATCAGCCCCTAAACCTGGTTTTCCAGCCCCGACTCTGCACTGGATGATCCAGAGGAGTCACATCCCTTTCCTGGTCTCTGCTTTGATATCCACGACCAAACATCCCCCTCCCAAAATCCAGTGCTGTTATCCGCTCCCAGAGACCCCTTGGAGTTCCTTGGCTGGGAATGACTTTGGCACTTCCGTGTGCCAAGGACTTTTCCCAAACATTCTTGACAGGAGATTCCCACCTCCACCTCCTGCCCATCATTCCCAACACCACCCCAGCAAACAACAGCCACAAGTTCCCAAAGAACTCATTTCCCAGGGAAAATTTGGACCTTACTAATTTTCCTTAAATTCCATTTATTATCCCATATTTATTATTCCCAAGAACACAGATGTGTCCAGGTCAGAGCGTCCTGATCTAGGGAAAATGCCCCTTCCCATGGTAGAGGGTGGAACTGGATGAGCTTGAAAGGCCCACCCAAACCATTCCAGGATTCCATGTGCTGCCTGGTTGGGATATTGGGAATAAATCCTTCCTTGTGAGGGTGGTGAGGCCCTGGAACGGATTCCCAGAGAAGCTGTGGCTGTCCTATCCCTGGAAATGTCCAAGGCCAGGTTGGACAGGGCTTGGAGCAGCCTGGGATAGCGGGAGCTGTCCCTGCCCGTGGCAGTGGGGTGGGACTGGATGAGATTTAAGTCCCTTCCATCCCAAACCGTTCCATGATTCCATTTACTATTTAGATGGAATATTGGGAATAAATCCTTCCTTGTGAGGGTGGTGAGGCCCTGGAACGGATTCCCAGAGAAGCTGTGGCTGTCCTATCCCTGGAAATGTCCAAGGCCAGGTTGGACAGGGCTTGGAGCAGCCTGGGATAGTGGAAGCTGTCCCTGCCCGTGGCAGTGGGGTGGGACTGGATGAGATTTAAGTCCCTTCCATCCCAAACCGTTCCATGATTCCATTTACTATTTAGATGGAATATTGGGAATAAATCCTTCCCTATGCAGGGTTGTGAGGCCTTGGAACGGATTCCCAGGGAAGCTCTGGCTGCTCCATCCCTGCAAGTGTCCAAGGCCAGCTTGGACAGGAGCAACATTCCCTGCCCGTGGGAAGGAACGAGCTTTCACTGGATGAGCTTTAAGCTCCTTCTTCCAACCCAAACCGTCCCAGATTCCCAGAATCCCAGACCGAAAGTAAACTCTGGAAGCACCCAAGGCACCAGGCGACTCGTCCCAAATCCAGCGGCACCCACAGCACCTCCAAATAACCGGCACGAATCCGGCCGCGGCCGGAAACCGGAATTCCCGTTCCCGGCGCTCCGGCCGCCCTCACCTGCACGTTGCCGTGGGCGCGGGTGATGATGTCGATGCTGTCTCCGCTCTGCTTGTACTCCAGGATGCAGGCGTTGTACTTGGCCGTCAGGATGAACAGCAGGTCCTTGCTCTCCCCCTGCGCGGGAAACACGTTCCAGAGGCCCTTCCGCGCCGGGAAAACCCCCCCCCAGCACCCCCCCGGCCTTGGGGTGCTGTCCCGGGACGCACCTTGGGGCGGAAGAGCTCCATGACGGCGGTCTTGCCGTACATCCCCACCTCCTTGACGGGCCGCAGCCCCTCGGCCGTGACCACGTAGATCTCCAGCCGCGTGTTCTTGGCGATCAGCAGGTTCAGGTCCTCGGAGGAGGTGAAGTGGCCTGGGAAAAGCGGGAAGGCCTCAGGGATCGCCTGCCACCCCAGGGTTCTCCTGCCACCCCAGGGATCACCTGCCACCCCAGGGATCGCCTGCAACCTCAGGGATCTCCTGCCACCCCAGGGATCTCCTGCCACCCCAGGGATCGCCTGCCACCCCAGGGATCGCCTGACACCCCAGGGATCTCCTGCCACCTCAGGGATCACCTGCCACCTCAGGGATCTCCTGCCACCCCAGGGATCACCTGCCACCCCAGGGATCTCCTGCCACCCCAGGGATCTCCTGCTACCTCAGGGATCTCCTGCCACCTCAGGGATCTCCTGCCACCCCAGGGATCGCCTGCCACCTCAGGGATCTCCTGACACCCCAGGGATCACCTGCCACCTCAGGGATCTCCGGCCGATCCTCGGTTTGCCTCCCGAAGCCCCCAATTCCTCCCCCCCGCAGCCCCCTCGGGAACTGCGTTCCCGGAGCTCGGGCTCCACGTTTTGTCCCAGGAATCCCTTTCCTTGCTGCCTTTCCATGGGAATTCTCATTCCTGGGGTTTCTTTGACACCTTCTGCACCCCCACCTCGTTATAGAGCTCAGGGACTCCACTGGATCCCCATTTCCAGCATCCCAAAGTCCTTCTGGGATCCCCAAAATCCCCCAGGCCCTCCCCGTACTCCAAAACTTCCCCTGTATCTCCAAAACCCCCCCGCGGAACCCCAAAACCCTCCCGGGACCCCAAACCGCCCCGCACCCCACCTCCCCCGTTGCCCCCCAGCACCTCCATCTCCCCGCACCCCCCGTACCCCAAACCCCTCCCGGGACCCCAAACCGCCCCGCACCCCACCTCCCCCGTTGCCCCCCAGCACCTCCATCTCCCCGCACCCCCCGTACCC